CCCTTTGTAACATGTTGAGCAAAGGGGGTACTTTCATGAATATTAACATATCAAACAGAACACGCATATAAATTATAATAGGTATAATTTATGGAACTCTCATACTATTTTCACTAATCAGTTATACAAAGTTTAATGGTATACTCTCATACAAATACTTTACATTCAAAAGAATCATACTATCAGTTCATTTATTTCAAAATGACTTTTATTCATTATTATATACGTAATCGTCAATATGGTTTTTTGTGAGACAATGTTTAGTTACTTATTCAATTAGGCAATACTATTAAAGTCCTGATATTAGAACCAGAATCTCCCGACAGAGAGCGAGACAAATGTGTATAGATCTATACGAGACTGACAATCCCGCACTCAGATTGTTCTCTATAGTTAGGCTGGTATGCCTGCGAGTGACAAATGTCGTTGCAGTTTCAACGCCTACAAAGCGTCATATCAGGCCATCTAGTCATAGTATGGTTATAATAACTCACAAAAAGATATGAACAAATACGATTAGTGTATAATTAACTAAACCAAAGAGTACGAATACAAAGTACTGGTTTTACAATAATACGATTTACAGTATTACATTACAATTTACAATTACAGCTGGTGGAGCCAGGCATGCTCACTTTTACAGGATTTTCATAGAGTACAATTACAGAACTTGGAAAATATAAACAATACAGAAAACATTCTTTTTATAGTTTTATTATGAATTAAAACTATGTTACATTACTTTATAGTACAACAAACACTTATACAAAAAACGGTTTTATGGTATTAAAACTATTTTTCATTATATTAGAAAATATTGGATTTTCTGGAACAATAAATATGATTTCTATTTCAAGAAATAAACAGTAAACTTCTAAACATAAATACTTATGCACTCGCCAACTTAAATGTTGATACTCTCTTTTCCAAAACACTTGTATTCTCAGGGAACCAGTAGACAAGTACATCCTCGAGATTTTGAGAAGACGGAGCAGTATAGAGTCATGTCTTCTATCTTTTGCTATATAAATTTTGATATCATATATACAATGACTTGAAAACTATGTAAAAATTATACATTATTAATGCAATGGTTGTTGTACTTTGATTACCATGATGCATGTGTTGTGATACTTAACATGAAGTCATCCACCCCCGGACATTTCCGCCGCTCCGGTTTGGGGGTGTGACATGTACGCTCTGCATACAAGTCCGATGCAAAAGGGTACCGGGGTTGAGGTGCAATACGTGCAACGTACTGGGTTTTACGCCCAACGTACGCACCCTAAAACTAAATCCCCATTAAGGCCTTAATGCCTTAAGACTTTACGTGTAAACTTCAGATATGAGCTTATTAAGACCTCTAAGGCCATAAAGTTGCAAACTTTATGCCTTTGCATGGCTACAAGGAGCCCAACACTAAGAACCTAACTTGCTTCATCTTTTTCAACGCCATAACTCTTGCATGGATACAAACCAAGACCCAAGCTTGCATTTTTATGACTTAAAAATACCCTATAATGTCTGAAAGGAAAGGTTAAAGACTTTGGAGTACCTCATACTCACAAAGCCCTTGGTTTTGGGACAAAAAGGATGAAAATCAAGGCTTAACTAAGATCTAGAAAAATATAAGCCAAGGTTGGAGCTTTATACCTCCAAATGGTGCACAAAGAAGAGAAAGTGTTGGATCCAAAGTCTTGAGAGCAAATTCACGTCGTTGACGATCCTCCTTCACAAGCAAGAAAGCCCACAACTCACTCAAAAGCTCAAAATGCTCAAAATAGATTAGGGTTAGCAAGGTAGGTAAATTCAAGGGGTGGATGCTAATAAGAGGAAGGGTTTTAGGGCTATAATGATGCTTATATAGTGCACAAACCCTAAATATTGGGGTTTGGTCCAAACCGCGTATGTCATGCTTACAAGCGTACGCCCAACATACATGTACGGGACCAGCTATGCCGAACGTACCAAGGTGTACGCCCAGCGTACCCATGTTGCACCCAAAATTATGAAAATGCCATTGGGGACCCATTTTGCAAACAAAACACAATCCAAGGGTCAATTTCGGAGGGGAATCTAGGAATTCGGGGGCGGGGGTGGGGGTGGGGAGGCTATAAATTTTGGGGGCGGATGCGGGGGTGGGGGAATGGAGAAATTTCGGAGGTGGGAGCATGGGATGCAATCCCCGTCCCGTTTGCTCCTGTTGACATCCCTAGTAAAAGGTTGAGGGAGATAAACTCTCTCCACCCTAAAAGGTTAAAAGGTTGAGGGAGATAAACTCTCTCCACCGTAAAAGGTTGAGATGTCAAGTTACGTTATAAATAAATAAAAACAACATTAGATGAGTGTATGAATTAGTTGTTTTAGAAAAAAAAAACTATACCGATCACTTTCCTGTTTTTTCTTTACAAATTTAACCACTCTAAGATCAATTTTACTAAACGATCACTTTCAATAAATTTCATGTGATACAATAAAAAGTATGTGTATGAAATTTTTAGCATTCAAACAATGAATTTATAGCATATTTTAAGAGAAAATGTCACTGTAGCATAATGAACTTATGTGTTTTGACCAATTTGACCAATTATGTTTTTTTTGCGCAATAGGCCATCTAACGTTTACTATACATGTCAATTAAGCCATTATCGTTAGTTTTTAATCATTCATCCGTTAACCAGTTATCTAAATTACATGAATGATCCCTATGATTTAAATTTCTTTCGTAGTTGGTCCCTTACCAACTATGTTTCAATTATGCGACGAAAACTGCCACATTTATGACACTTTGGGGACTAAAGTCTCAATTTCTTATCATGATCTTCCCAAACCCACTTTTCCATTCAACACCTGCTTCACAAAACCAACAATTTTGCAGAACAAGGTCGTCATTTTTTTTGTTACAATACTATCATCATATAAACCTCTCATTCTTAATCCTAATAACAAATTAACAATGATGTATCTTAAACACTTAAAAAAAACTTAATGATTGTAATATACAAAGAAAAAGTTTTATTTACGTTTCCGAAACAAAACTAAAATTTTCTTTCCTTTTACCAGAAACATATGAATTGTCGTAGTACAGTACCTACGCTCCAACTGTCCAATTCCGACGTACCGTAGTCTCTACTACCACTGTAGCGCTGGCGACATCGGCTGATCGACTCTGTCTCTCCGCGTTCACAAAGCACAGATGGCTCACCGTTCTTCCTTCATTTTCCCCTCTTTGTTTGTATCGCATGGTAAGTCTAACTTATTCTCATACGCAGAACTCCTAAGTTTGTTTATTTGAATTTAATCGGTAGATTAGCACTGAAAATTTGATATTTTGTGTTGGATGAATTGATTCAAAACTTTGAATGCTAAAAGTTTGATAGTTCGTCTATAAGCTGCATCTCCTTTTAGATTGAATATTGTTACTTTAGGTTTTCATGAATGCGATTCACATTTACAACCAAACTCTCAAATAATCACCATTTTACATTTATTTCAGCAAGTTGTTTATCAAAATCATAGTCACTTCACTTCTATGTGAAAGTAATGTTGCCCTTTGATTCATTATGCTATATTTTACCAGAGATTGTTTCATTGATTCAATTATTTGCCTAAATAGAATAGCTTGGTTGGTTGCTGATTGTTAATTGCCTTTTCTTTTGCAAAACATCTTAATATGGTATCCTTGAAACATTTGAACAAACTTGAAACTAAAATTCATGATGCCAATGCAAATGGAGAAGACAACTTGTATCACAAAGAGATGAGCGATATTGCTGCTAAAAAACAAAAAATTTTAGTTCAAATTGTAGAAATAGAGAAACATCTACTCTTTGTAAAGAGAGAAATCAGTGTAGGATGTGTTCTAAAGGTGGTCAGTTGTTGCAGAAACAGAGAAACCATGTCGACTTCTTCACGACGGTCGTCTTTGGTGGTGATGTCAACTTCTTCTTTCCGGTGACCGTCCTAGGCGGTGAGATCGACATCTTCACGGAAGCCACCCTAGATTTTGTTAGAGATAGGCAAATAGTTGGGTTCCTAATCTTCAACGACGACGCCAATCTCGATGGCGAAAATGACATCCACAACTTTGCTGACATGGAGACGTTCTTAAGGGGTGACATCGCATTCTTCTTAATTCGCTCCGGTTGTTTTGGGTCTGGTAGGAGATACAAAAAATGTTGGACTCCTAATCTTTATTTGAATCAATGGATAATTGAGATATTGTCTCTTGGAATTCTTTAGTTTCTAGTTATGCTTTAACGCGGAAGAAGATAAGAAATTTACACTTTGGTCCCTAGAGTTTCATAAATGTGTCGGTTTTGGTCGTGTAATTTAAACATAACTGGTAAGGGACCAACTACGAAAAAAATTTAAATCATAGGTGTCATTCCTGTAATTTAGATAGCTGGTTAACGGAGGGATGGTTAAAAACTAACGATAACGGCGTAATTGACATGTACAGTAAAAGTTAGATGATCTATTGCGCAAAAAAAAAATAAAAAAAAAACATAATTGGTCAAATTGGACAAAACGCATAAGTTCATTGTGCTACAGTGACATTTTCTCCATATTTTAAGTCTTCTATTGCAAATTCGATAGAAAACATTTTTTTATCTAATCATTATAATTTATTATTTGCCATATAATTTAATCTTTTTTACTGCAAGTAGAATATTTAAAATTCATTTATTGCAAACAAACTAAATAATGTTTATTATATGATAATTATTAATAGATGAAATGATAATATTAGCTAACAAAAGAGCATAATGTCTTATTTTAGTCTCCACATATTGGTCATAGATTACATTTAATCATTGAATAAATTTATATTTATATTGATAGTAACATTTGTTGTGCTGAAACTGCAAATTAGAAGATAGTCCAGGACCATTGTTGTAACTAATAGCAATCTGGTTTGTCTGCACTCTGCACCTTTGTTGTATTATCATCTGATACATATCCTTGCTTAATACAGCTATATATAAATCTTCATTAAAGCCACATTTCTGCCAGCTCTACTCTAACCCCTTTTCTGTTTCATTATAAAACGAGTCTTCAATTCCGTTCTATCTCTCTCGATGTTCCCCTACATTTGGATAGAAAGAGGCTCTACTAATCTCGCATTAGGGCATCATGAGCGCACCCAATGATTCATCGGTACAGATCCCTCTAGCTTTTTTTTTCCCTGTTTTGAAATTTGGTTTTTGGATGATTTTTTGTTTTCATCAGAGATGGAGCTCGTTAACCATTGGAGAGAAGCTGTGTGCTGCCTTCGTACCATTTATGTCCATAGCTGAAATCCTATTGCTCGCCATCTCTGGTTGCTTTGATTTTCAATCGGATAATCGTAGCACTACTGAGAAGCTTCGTTTTGATCATCATCAGCTTTCTCGCCTTGCATCCGAATCTAATTGTACATTTTTTGCTCCTGCTGTTACCTAATTTAGCTTCACTACTTAAAACCGTTAGAGTTTAATGGTAGAAACCATTTTCCTGCATCCGACAAGAAAAAACACGAAAACAAATCAAGGGGCTTGGACTCTATTTCTTTTAGCTTTACTCCCTTTGAGTTACTCTGCTGCGGTGAAAATCTTCCTGTGATTCAGAATTGTAGTTTTGATCCAAATCTGTTTTTTCTAGAAGTTGCGTCTTGAGTTTCTTCTTCAGCTTTAATTTAGCTAAAGGACATATAGTTTGATGTATATAAGGTCAAATAGACTATTCTTTCATGAGATTGCTAGTATTTGTCATAACTCATAAGATTGAATCAGCTGTTTTGAAACTTTCTTAAATTTTCGGACAATAATGATCTAACATACTACCTTCATAGCATGCCTTTTCCTCCCTAATTTCTATTGTTATGAATATAATGATATTTATTGTGCAAAGAACATACTAGAATTGTATGGTTAGGGATTAAACAATGACCTGGTAATGAATGTAGTGGCTTTAATGTGCAATTTACTTTTATGATTAGAATAATATGTACTGAGGACACATGTGCATCGTGTTATAGAAATAGAACTAGCAATCATGTGGCCAACATGTTAATAGTTGTAAAGGGTCCATGGAAAATCATTTACCCCTTATCTATGTCCTTTTTGCAGTTAGTATCAATGAAGTGGAAGCACTTTTTGAACTATTTAAGAGCTTGAGTTGCTCAATTATTGATGATGGATTGATACACAAGGTTTCATTTTAAGCCTGCATTTTACTTCATCTTGTTATTTTAGCTACTAACATTTGTCATTATATCTACTACTTCATTGCCACTCCTTCAATCCCAAGGCTGCCTGTCAAATTCAATTTGATATTAAAACTTTTTTATGTATCATCATAGACATCTGTAGGCATAAAATTGGTTAATCTATATTTTAATATCAACATTCTATCTTAGTGTTATGCTTGCTTATTGAATCGTTGTGCAGTGCTAATATTTACATGTTTACTTTTGTGTAGGAAGAGCTCCGATTAGCACTATTTAATACCCCTCAAGGCGAGAATCTATTTTTAGATCGGGTAAATGCTTCGTTAAAATTTATATTTTATCTATCCTATACATGAATTTAGTGTTACGTTTTTCCTTTTTTTACAAACCTTTTTGGATGTCCAAAACCAAAAGTAATAACCCTCATATTACTTTGAAAAATCTATCCAATTATAATAAAATATACCTATTGTAGCAATGGAAATTGCTTTGTATTTGGATGACATTGCTATATTTGGTAGATTTTTCAAAATACAATGCTGTAATAATGGAAGTAGGATGCTATAATAAGGTAATCTACGAAAGTACATTGCTACTTTTTGCATATAGTCCTAATTTATATTTCCACCATTCATGTCTTAACATTTCGAAAGCGCATGCATACTCACTTTTTCTTGTACATTGCTATTTTTTTTTTATTTGAATTTGTTCTAGGTTTTTGACCTTTTTGACGAAAAGAGAAATGGTGTAATTGAATTTGAGGAATTTGTCCATGCTCTCAGTGTCTTCCATCCCTATGCGCCTATAGAAGATAAAATAAACTGTAAGACATTGAAGCGATCATTTCTTACACATTTAATATCTCATAAATGATGTAATAATAACAATCCCTAGTGAATTTTTTGATTTCCCACAGTTGCTTTTAGGCTATATGATCTGAGACAGACCGGGTATATTGAGCGAGAAGAAGTGAGTATGCTTTTCGTCCGTATGTGTAATATAGCAGAAGCAGACAAGACATGAATGGCCTCCTGATCCTTATCATCAAAATTAGCCCTAGAAAGCTTTTTAGGGTTATTTTCAATGATAATGATGAGGAGGGCATTCACGTCTTTTGCATAAACGAAAGATGTTGAGCAGTCTTGTTCCACCTTTTTGGGTGGGACAAAAAGTCGTAATTTAGTCTGAGTCTCAGTCCAATGCATGCATGCCAAACACAATGTCAATACAAACTGCGGAGTTATGATATTTTGATAGGTGAAGCAGATGCTGATAGCAATATTAACAGAATCCGAGGTGAAGTTATCAGATGACCTTCTCGAGGCTATTATTGACAAAGTAAGAGTTTTCCCAATCCCAAACTCATGTAAATATGTAATTTTTTTTACAACTTTGGTTTGAATTAATACTAATAGATTATAGATGAGATGTTGGTTGTTTACTTCAGACATTTGTTGATGCTGATGCTGATGGAGATGGTAAAATCTGTAAAGAAGAATGGAAGGAATTTGCCCTACGCAACCCAGGCCTTTTGAAGAACATGACTCTTCCTTACCTTGTGTATGTTTTTTTTTTTTAAAAAAAAAAAAGCTTCATATTCCTTTTCTTGATTAATATTGTTGTAGTAATAAATTGTCATGTCGTTTATATTTTGATTCAGGGACATCACCACTGCATTTCCAAGTTTTGTTTTCCACACTATGGTCGAGGATACAAATTGAAAACCTCATTTCCTCATAGACACTGAAAATTTGCTATCATAAGATGGGCAAAGTATCGACTAAAATCAGCAAGCACCATCTGATGCTCCATTCACCCTACCAAAACTCTCAGACACAAGGTTTCCAGAAACTTAGAACCTTCTCCAAGAAATCACATCCTTACTTGACAAATGTACTTCTGAAAGAATAGCTAAATCTTGTATATCTAAATAGCGTATGAAATCAGTGATGTAGATCTTTTCTTTATTTTTATTGCATGAGTGTTTGTTGTTTAAAAAAACCAAATACATGTAACATATACAACTTATTATAGGTTTATACGACACTTTTATCATATTTATGGTAACAAACAAAGAAAAAATGAAACTAAATTCTGTGCATCCCCAAAAATATTTCCTTCACTGGATGGAATTTGACAATCTTTATGTAACTAAACTCGTCAATCTTGGAACCAAACATGTCATGCATTTCTATTTTTTTTTTTTCTTCAGATTTTATGAACCAAAAGCATATTAACAATCATAAAACTTATGTTTTTCTTAAGTACGATTTCAACTAGGACCTATCTAGGGGTGTCAATGTTGTTGAAGTCATAATAATCCTTCAAGGGAATTACGAATGGCAGTGTAAGGAAGAAAGTATTGGTGATCTCGATCATGCATGTTCTCAAATCATCTTCCTCACATCAGTGAGTCGGCAGGGTTCATGAACAGTGCTTGTGTGACAATATGCTTAGTTTGATCACTTCTCTCATAGGAGAATTCCATGTGCCTAGACCTCGTGAACATGCGCTGCTTAAACCATCGACATCTCGTAACTGTAAATATTTGGGAATCAATTGCCCTTTCTTATTGATTAGAATCAATATACAACAGAGAATCTGAAATATATAAGGCATAGATTTCGGCTAATACTCCCCCGCAGAAGTTATAGCTGGTCGGATAGTGAGACTGGAGCGGAAGCGGGTGAAAAGTTGACATGGTAATCCCTTCGTAAAAATATCGGCATATTGGTAGTCAGCGGGAACATGTAGCACGCGCAAAGATCCCAAACACACTTTTTCACAGACAAAGTGGATGTCAATTTCAATGTGTTTTGTGTGTTGATGTTGAACCGGGTTTTTGGCGAGGTAAACGGCTGAAACGTTGTCACAATAGATGATGGTGGCATGGCGTAAGGGAAGATGTAGCTCAAGAAGATGATTGTGTAGCCACGTCGTTTCAGCCATGGCAATTGCGACCCCTTTGTACTTGGCTTCGACGCTTGATCGGGAAATGGTAGGTTGTCGTTTAGACGACCATGAGACGAGATTGTCACCGAGAAATACACAATAACTGGATGTGGAGCGCCTAGAGTCGGGGCACCCCCCAATACACATCGGAGTAAGCAATAAGATTAGTGGATTTGGAGGGTGAAATGTGGAGTCCGTGTGTAGTGGTGCCCTTGAGATATCAGAGAATGCGTTTAAGAAAATTAAAATGTGGTTCACGCGGGGCATGCATAAAAAGACAAACTTGTTGAACGGCATAAACAATATCAGGGCGAGTGAATGTCAAGTATTGAAGTGCCCCGACTAGACTGCGATAAAGAGAAGGATCCGATAGTGGGTTGCCCGCGGTGGCGTTGAGTTTGGAGTTGGTATCAATAGACGTAGTGGATGGTTTGCAGTCTTGCATTTTAGCACGATTGAGTATGTCATGAACATATTGCTCTTGAGATAAAAGTAATTTTCCATGTTTGTGTTGAACTTGAACGCCAAGGAAGTGGCGAAAAGGACCAAGGTCAGAGATGGCAAACTCCTGAGACAGTAAATCAATGAGGTATCGGAGAGTGGAAGTGTATGAGGCTGCCAAAATGATGTCATCCACATAAAGAAGTAAATAAGCTGTTTTCTGGCCATGTTGGAACACGAAAAGAGAGGTGTCACTGTTGGTGCTTTTGAAACCGTGGTTTTGGATATAAGTGGCAAACCGATGATACCATGCCCGGGGGGCTTGCTTGAACCCATATAAAGATTTGTGCAAACGACATACATGTTTGGGATTGCCCGAGTCCATGAATCCAGGTGGTTGAAACATATAAACAGTTTCTTGAAGATCACCGTGCAATAAAACGTTCTTTACATCTAGCTGATGGATTGGCCATGATCGTGACACAGCTAGACTAAGAACGGTACGGATGGTGTTGGGTTCCACAACGGGACTGAAAGTTTCATTACAATCAACTCCGACTTGTTGACATTTACCATTAACTACCAATTTTGCTTTGTAACGTGCAAGGGTCCCGTTTGCGTGAAATTTATGCCGACAAATCCACATACATCGTATAACATGAGCATTAGGTGGAAGTGGCACAAGTTCCCATGTATTTTTGTGTATTAATGCTTTGTATTCATCAGTCATAGCACAATACCAGTTTGGATCAGCCATGCATGGTTATGAGACTTGGGAAGAGGGGACACAGTTGGAATTAGATTGTTGTTGGTGGTGTGTAGGTTAAAAGGTGTCTTGGTTTTGGAAAATACCATCTCACAAGCGAGTGGTCATAGGGTGTAATGAAGCTGGTGGCGGAGGGGTGGGGTCTGGTTGACGGGGTCGACGAGAGTAAGTGAGAGGATAGGATATTGGAGCAGAAGTGGCTGGTGGTGATTGGGGTGAGGTGGCGTCAGGCTGTGAGGCAGCAGTAGGGGTGGTGGGTGATGGTGGGGTGGTGGTTGGTTGGGCTTGGAAAAGTAAATCATGGAAGGGGTATATGAGGTGATTTTTGTTGATGATGGTATAAGGGAATGTGGATTCGTCGAAAGTGACGTGTCAAGAAAGAATGACCTTGCCCGTAGAGAGGTCAAGGCATCTATAGCCACGATATTGGGGTAAGTAACCAAGGAAGACACACACGGTGGAACGGGGGATGAGTTTATGTGTACGGGTTGCGTTTAAGTTGGGATAACAAGCACACCCAAATACACGAGGGTGGTCATAAGTGGGGTGTTTAAGATAGAGAGCAGAAGTAGGGGTGCGGTTTTGAAGTAATTTAGTGGGTAAAATGTTATGAAGGTAGGTAACAGTGTGGAGGGCGTCAACCTAGAAGGAGGGTGGTAAGGATGCATGAGTAAGGAGAGATAACATGAGTTCGTTTAGGTGATGAATCATGCGTTCGGCAGTGCCAATTTGCTGAGAAGTATGTGGGCATGAAAAGCGGATGTGAAGACCGGTAGTGGAGGCAAAGGTATGAAATTGATGGTTGTCGAATTCACCACCTTTATCGCATTGAAAGGTTTTGATGGTAGTGTTGAATAGTGTTTGAATAAATTTGTGGAAATATTTATTTTGTCAAATGTTTCTGATTTAAATTTGAGGGGAAAACCCATGTATAGTAAGTGAAATTATCTATTATGATGAGGTAATATTTAAAACCGGTTTTTCTCGGGATGGGAGAAGTCCACAAGTCGGCATGAACAAGATCAAATGGTGGATGTTGAGTCTTTGAATGGTAAATGTTTGTGTTTGGAAATTTGACAGGATTGACATACAAAAGATTTATCAACTTTATTGCAAGAAATGTGTTTATTAAAATGAAGAAAATCCATTACATGATGTCCTAGTCTAAAGTACCAAATAGGCGAAGTAGAAGAAACATTAAAAGATAAAGTTGGAGCGTGTGCTTGGTTGGTGAAGGGGTAGAGATCCCCGGAGCTATTGTGGCTTGTCGTGAGCTTCCCAGTCTTGAGATCCTTAACAGAAAAACCAAATGTGTCAAATTTGATTGAAACATAATTATCACGACAAAACCTACATACAAACACAAGGTTTTTGACAACATTAGGTGTGTGAAGGATATTTTTAAGGTGAAAAGGGTTGGTAGGGTGGGGTAATATGGTATGTCCTGATCCAAGAACTAGTACATAATTACCATTTCCAACAAACACAGAGTTAATAGACGAAATACAATGGGTAGAGATTTTACTTGCGCCCGCAGTAAGATAGGTGGTGGCACCTGAGTCCATGTACTAGTTGTCATCATTAGGATTGAGAGTCATAGTGGAAAAAATAAGCCTCAAGTTCAGAAGGTTCCAATGGGTTGACTTCTACCAGAGTTGCTTGTGGTTGGCAGTTGAATTGTTGAGACGAACCAGCAGCAGGTGTTCCCTAAGGGGCCCAGCCGCTTTGATTCGGATATAGACAGGGGGTGGAGAGTCCCACCAGGGAGCAGCCCAAAATGGTGATGGATAAGCAGACCAGGGTGGTCGTTGTTGACCTGAGGACGGGTTGTGGCGACTGTTTGGGTGTGAGTTGTTTGATCGGACAAGATGCTGGTTGGTAGAACTATTTTGAGGTGTAAATGGAGTGAATCTGCGATTAGGGTTACGCTGTTGGGATTAGCAACCACGATTTGTAGTCCTGTCGCGACGTGGTGGTGGATTGGGAGACGGTTCATGTTTGACGGTGGCTGCAACCTCGATTGGTGAGTGGGTGTCGCGAGCACGCTGGCTTTGGTACTCCAGTTGAAGCATAGAACACGCCGTGTCCCATGTAGGTAGGGTTTTATTGATATAAGCTGCAACGGGATCATACTCGGAAGGTAGGCCACGCACACAGTGTAAAACAAGGCGGTTTGTTGTGACAGGACATTCCACGTCTTCAAGTTAGCTTGCAAGATCTTTGAGACGCACAGTAGGCTTCAAGAGAGGATGTGGCACATAGATTTTGGTTGTTGAATTCGTGTTCCAAGGCAGCAGCGCTAGAACCTTTGTTGTCGAGGAAAATTTCCTTGAATTTGTTCCACGCTTGAGAGGCAGTGGATTCTAGATCGACAAATCGTGCAAGGAAATCGTCGGATAGTGTTCCGTAAATCCACTGAAGAACAGTAGCATCGATTTTTGACCAGGCTTCATAGTTCGGATCAGTAGGCTTTGGAGGTGTTGTACCATCGATGTGGGCAATGACTTTGTATCCTCTGGCATGGAGTTTGAACATTTGTACCCAATACGAGTAGGTAACCTTGGTGAAATCAAGGATTCACACCTTGTTCTGAATTTTTGTTACTGTGTAGACGGGGTGGATTGTTTTAGTGGGTTTAGGATCTGAATTGTCGCCCATGATGATTCAGAGAGAGAAGGAAGAAGAATTACACATTCGTGGCTGTGGAGGAAGAAGGAGAAACGGTATTGAGCCAAGGCTCTGATACCATGTAAATCTTTGGGAATCAATTTCCCTTTCTCATTGATCAGAATCGGTATATATAGGGGATTCATCCGGAAAAGA